TCCTGTTAAGATTGGGGTATTGGATATTAGATTTTTCATGTCCATTAAGATTTGTCTTATATAGTTGGGTGCTCCTGTGTTTGCTGTGTACATATTTATGAGTATTACCTCTTCCTCTTGAATTTTTCCCCTAACCAGTATATAGTGACCTTCTTTATTTCATTTGTTCGTTTGAAGTTGAGACTGTCTGCAAACAGGATTGCTATCCCTGCTTTTTTCTGTTGTGCTGGGGTGTATAGTATTGTTTCCCATCCTTTCACTTTCAGTCTATGAATTTCTTTATGAGTTAAGTGTGTTTCTTGTATACAGCATATTGTTGAATTTTGTTTCCTAATCCACTGTGCCAGTCTATTTCTTTTAATTGGTGAATTGAGCCTGTTTACATTTCTTTTGTTTATTTTGTTTTGTTTGGGTTTTTTTTTTGGCAGAACTGGGGATTGAACTCAGGCCCTTGTGCTTGCCACGGGAGCGCTTAGTCTACTGAGCCATCTCCCCGGCCTCTGAATCCATTTACATTGATGGTTATAATTGAGATGTATTGACTTATGATTGACATATTGTTTACCTGCTGTTGTTTACCCCCTTTTCTTCTGTATTTAATTGTTTACCCTATTTTGTCTGCTCTCTCCATTGTCATTCGTGGAGTTTTGGTCATTTTGGTCCCTCTCTAGAATATCTTTATTTGTCTGAGTAGGGTCGGCTTTGTCATCATGAAATTCTTTAGTTGTTCTTTGTCATGGAAGTGTTTCACTTCTCTATCCATCTTGAAAGACAGTTTTTCAGGGTATAGTAGTCTGGGCTGGAATTTGTTTTCATAGAGGACTTGATGTACTCGGCTTCATGCTCTTCTTGACTTCATGGTTTGTGAAGAGAAGTCTATCGTTATTCTAAGGAGTTTTCCTTTAAATGTGATCTGTTTCTTTTTTCTAGCAGCTTTCAATACATTGTTCTTGTGCTGGATTTCTGGGATTTTGACTATTATATGTCTCGGTGTGTTTTTAATTGGGTTGATGTTATTTGGAGTTCTGTATGCTTTGGTTAGCTGAATGCCAGATTTTTCCCCCATATTTGGGAAGTTTTCTGCTATTACTTCTGCCCACATTCTTTTCATATTATTTGTATTGACTCTTTATTTCTTGTTGATACCTATTAGTTTCACATTGTTCATCTTTGCATCGTCTTACAGGTGATGAATTATTTTTTTCCTGCTTCCTAGTTGTTTTTAAGAGATCTTTTCTTACCTTTTTGTGAGCTGCAGTGGTGTCTTCAAGATCTGAAACTCTATCTTCAATTTCATTCATATGGTTTTGCAAGCTTTTTGTTGAGATTTTAAGTTCCTCTATATCTCTTTGACTCTGCTTCATGTGATCTGTTTCTTTCCTATAATGCTCATTCAAGGAATCCATCATTTTTCTAATCTCTTCTATTATTTTTATCAGTGTCTTCTTGAGAAGCAGTTATTAATTCTTTCATTACAGATATCCTTTCTTTTTTTACTTCAGAGATTATTTCTGATCTGATTTCCTCTATGTGTTCCTGCAGTTGTTTTGTTACTTTAGACGCTATTAATTCAGACACTTCAGCTGTGTGTTTCCCAATCTGTTCTGTGCTAGTGTCTCCTTCACTTGTTCTGGGTGGGCTCAGGGCCTGAGATTGTATTTTGCTCCTTGTATTTGTCATTTTATATAGCCCTGTGCTTTGGTGTAGAGCTTTGGTGCCGTTATAACCTTAGCACCTATTGGAATTCGGGTGTAGGTCCACGAAGTTTGAATTCATCCAGTTGTGCCTGACTTAGGTCTGTCTGTTGTCCTCAGCTTCTTTCTGATGCAGCCCTTGGAAGGGAACCAGTTTTGGCCCTCTGGCAAATTGTTCTGCTCCTGGATTAGCTGGTTGGTTCTGGCCCCTACCTCTCTGTAGGGACTTCAGCTTCAGAGTTTCACCCCAGGCCTGGGCTGGGTAGGTAGGGTTTTTGCTGGGCCCAGACCAGTCCAGTGGGCACAGGGGCGGTCAGAAGCTCTTCCACCTCTCGCTGGTCCTGGGCTTGGGCTGAGTCTGGAGGGGTCCTAGGAGCAGAGTGGAAGTTCTCACTCAGAGGCTGGGCTTGGGCTGTGTCTGGTGGGGTCCAGTGGGTGCAGGGGAGCCCAGAAGCTCTCCTACACACTCACTGGGCCTGGGCTTGGGCTGGGTCTTGGGGATATATTTTCTGTTACAACTGTTCTTGCAGATTGGCCTAAACTGATCTAAACCAGCAGTCCCCAACTTTTAAGTATCAGGGACTGGTTGTGTGGAAGATAATTTTTCCACAGCCTGGTGGGTGAGAGGCATGGTTTCAGGGTTAGAGTCTCCTAAAGAGTGCACAACATCAATCCACTGCCTGTGCAGAGCCCAGGACGGTTCACCCTCCTAAGAGAATCTATTGCCATTGCTGATTGGACAGTGGAGCTCAGCCTGCGAGCGATGGCGAGGGGTTGTGGATACAGAAGAGGCTTTGCTTGCTGCCCTCCCCTCCCCTCCCCTCCCCTCTCTTCTTCTCCCCTCTCCCTCTTCTCCCCTGCCCTCTCCCCCCTCCCCTCCTCCCCTCCCCACCCCTCCCCTTCCCTGTGCAGTCCATTTTCTTAAAGCTCCGGATTGGCACTGATCTGCGACCTTGGTTTGGGGATCCCTGGTCTAAACCCAAGATTTTTGGTGTGAGACTAGTAATTTGTCTAAATTCAATTCTATTGCTTAGTTCAAATGAAGCTACATTCAAGGCAGATGTCTCCCCAAGTGAGCATGGGGTATTCAGGACAGTGGCAGCTTTGCGGTGACAGTAGGAGGGAGACTTGGATACTCGGATGAGAGCTGTCCTGTCTCCACAGAAATGGCGGGGCTTAAGTCAGAATATTCAGGAGGGCTGGCTGTAGCACTCACAGCTCTTTGGGGCTCGGGGGTGTTGGGGTGTTAGTAGTAGCATCAGGAGCCTTCCCTGAGCTCTGCCACCCCAGCGGAGGTTGTTCTGCCAGAGAGGCAGCAGAGGCATCTGGTTAGCGGGGGTGGAGAGGGGCCCTCAGCTGAGCCTGGAGATCGGGGCAGAGGGGCTCGCATGGCACTGCTCAGCCAGGATCCTTCATCCGCAGGGCTGGCCTTTGCCTGCAGCTGGGGGCTTAGTCCAGAGCAGGGCGGCCAGAGACTGAGTCCATCCGGCCGGTCTTGGAGTCTGGGTCTTGGGAGCGGCCCAGCGCTGGGTTTGTCTGGAGCAGTCTGATGTTGGAGTCTGAGGCAAAGTCCAGGGCTCAGCTTCCTCTCCTTCCTCCGTGCAGGTGCCCTGTCTTTGCTGCTGTGTTGCCTAGGAATTGCGGGACGGGAATGGAAAACTGACTGTCCTTCTCTCATTGGTGCATCTTTTCTTACTTCTGTGCTGCTTCAGGTGCTGCAATCCCTTACCTGCTTTCCTTAGTTCTTGTAAAAATGTTCTCATGCATAGGTGATTCTTCAAACTGATGCTTCTGCCATCATCAGAGTCCTTTTCTGCCATCCTAGTGACCACACCCCTCCCATGCCTTCTTATATTTTACCATGATGAACATTTTTTAAAATTAATTTTATTGAGAAAAAATTGCAATGTGACAGCTTCAAAACAGGTTGGTAGAAGAGTAACAGCAATTCATACATTGCATATTGTTGTCTTTGTAGTAGTCATTCATAGCACAAGATGCAGACGTGATATCCTGTCCAAACACTGTTAGTACAGATCTTTCTTCCTATTGAATTAAGAGAAAGTAGCTATAGATCTATCCTAACTATTTTGTATATACAGATACAAAATTTTCCTTCATTGATATCACCTTTTTTGGTTCGTTTTTGTCAGAGATGGGTATTCTATTGCCATCCAAATATTGTAGGTGCATGAATTCAGCAAAATATTCTAATATAGTCCAGCATTTTTGCAACATTTTATTTTTTTGAGAATTCTATCTCCATGTACAACTTTCCCCTTTTTTTGTAGCTCTCTCCTGGTTTACAGGGAATTACACTCTCAAAATTATTTGTTAATCCTATTTGCTCTCTGACAGTCACTTTATTCACTCTATTATATGCTGCAGGAGGCTGTTATGGTGTGTGTCTAGTTGTCCCCCTAAAGCCTCATGTAAGTCACGGGGCAGACTTACTTCTAGAGTTTGTGATTAACTCATGACCCACTGGGATTGTGGGTCCGAGTACTGCTGGGATTATGGGTGTGAGTGCTACACCTGGCCTGGGGCAGAGAGCCTGAATGTAACATAAGAGAGACAGAGAGACAGATTTGCCCTCTGTTGTCACTGTTGCTGCTACTCCTTCCTTTTGCTCTTGCTGTTTTGCTGCCTTTGGCCACCATGAACAGCTGTCCTCTGCAAGCTCCATACCAGTCTGCCTTGGAGCCAGCTGAGTATGGACTAAAAGTTCCAGTAACTATGAGCTAAATAAACCTTTCCTTCCTTCATTTTGAGTGTCAGGTGTTTGTCCCAGCAATGACAGAAGAGTAACTGAGACAGAGGCTCTCCACTTTCTTACTTATACTTTCTGTCATTGACTCCAATAAGGGAGACCCATTGCTCAGGACAGTCTAGGAAGTATGCTGAATAAGGGTAGCAGGAATCCTAATAAGTGACCTGCTTCATTCTTCTAGGACCTCATATGAGGTAGGATGGAGCATATATATATATATATATATATATATATATATATGATGCTTTTCTTACCTCAGCCAATTTCTCACATACCTGTACTACCAGAGCGATTCTGCAGATAAGCACTAACCCCTCCTTGAGTGGTATAACACAGCGGTATGACATGCTCTGCCCAGGACCCAATGATGCAAATCTCTTCTATCTTGATTGGCTCACAGCCTGAGGAAGTTTCCAGCCCCAGGGAGGTCAAGAGTTATTTATATTCATAATGTGCAGCTTTTTGGCTGAGCTGTGTGGAGGCAAGCTCCATCCTAAGAAGCTAACAATTTTCCTGTGTGGTCCTTTCGCTTTCAGAATGGGTTCTGGTGGGGTGACCCAGGTGCTGGGTCTGCTAGTGAGTCTGATCAGGCTGCAGTCCTCAGTGGCCCAAGGCAGAGACTGTCCAGGTAAGAACAGGGCAGCTTTTCTCTGGGTGTTTGTGCTGGAGTTGGCGTGAGGGAGGGAGGCCTTTCCCTGTAGCTCCATGCTGCTGAAGGAGTACACGTGGCTTCTGGTTTCAAAGAGCAGTTTTCTTCCCATAGACAGAAAGCCACTCTTCCCTCTTTTCCATGCACAATGGACCTCCTGAAAAAGGAACTTCAAGTACCACAGACAGAGACCCGAAGTGTAGGGAAACATTTTGACAGGTCAGGTTCTTTATTATATCAACATCAAGGTCAAAAACTGCTCAAGTTGGAAGCAGTCTGAGCCTAACTGCCACCCTTAAGCCAGGAGTTCATTCTGATGAGTGTGATTATTCCTGTATTTATCTAATGGAGGTGCACGGCCACAAATAAAATGGGAAACTGGTTGGTCATTTACTAAACTCCTGTTATGTGGCCAAAACTGTAGTGAGCAGTTTTGAGAAGTGCAAGAAGGTGAGCACACTAACTACCCCCGTCCTCAGGTTATCCTGTACAAGTTAATTTTCGCCGTGATTTTTCTAGCTGAGGAGATGGGCTGTGCGAACACGAAGAAGTGTTAGACATGAGTGCGCCTAGTTAAGAACTGAAAACAGGGCGTGATGTGCTAAGAACAGATTCCCCTTTAAATGTCAGTTTCACTGAAAACAAAAGAGGAACAAACCTGGGGGTAGAGCACCATTGTGGTGAGAGGAGAGAAACCGTTCTGCGTGTATCACTCCCTTAAACCATACAGCTGAAAAGATCAGCCTAGATTTTAAATGATAAAAACATTCATCTGATTTTCTTATTTCAACTGTAAGAGGAAGTAGAGAAGGATGTTAGCCCTGAGGGACTGGAGGTTGGGACTTCTGCTGGAATGAGCTGTTGAAGGAGAGACGGGCCTGGCTGGCCCACAAAGGTCATCCTGATGGCTCAGCACAGGAGTCCCTGGTGGAGGTCACTGAGCTCAGAAATGAAGGCAAATTTACTGCTCAAACTCAGGAGCAGTTCAAGTCTCAATGTCATTTCTTCAGAAAGCTCTGCCCTGACCTACCGTGTTACTAACCTATTGGCACATTTCCTATTACTGTTCTTGTCCTCAAGTGCACAGAATTGAGTTAATCTTACCAAGCTCGCTGGCCACTGTGGTCGCTGGTCCGGGCCAGGACTCTCTCTTCTTTATCCTGTATCTCCATTTCTTTCTCTTTTTTCTGCAAGAAAGCCATTCTAGGTATGCCCGCTATGTCTAAAGTATGAAGGTATCTTTCAGAAATACATACCACTGTTTTCCTGTGTGCATTTAAAATTTTTTATGTGCTATTGTGCATCGAATCACGTTCCTTTTCTTTTCTCACAACACTATGCCCCTGAGCCACAGAATTTCAGAGACTTCCTTGCAAGTCCACGTGGTCCGACGTAATTTACGAGGTACTGGATTTCCCAGAGGTAGGGACCGGCTCTTAGTTCTTTTTGGTTTTTCAGAGGATTTTGTGATTCAGGCCAAGGCTGACTGCTACTTCACGAATGGGACAGCAAAGGTGCGGTTTGTGGTCAGGTTCATCTTCAACTTGGAGGAGTACGTGCACTTCGACAGTGACGTGGGGATGTTCGTGGCCCTGACGGAGCTGGGAAAGCCCGACGCGGAGCAGTGGAATAATCGGCCAGATATACTGGAGATGAGCAGAGCTTCCGTGAATATGCTGTGCAGGCACAACTACCGGCTGGGGGCCCCCCTCACCCTGGGGAGGAGAGGTGAGGTGAACGGCAGGGTCTAGTGGGGCTCAGGAGCCTGCACCCTGGGGCCCTGGTCACGACTCTTCTTCTGATGTCTGCCTTAGGCCAAATGGGTTATAATAGAGCTCTGAGGGTGTCCTGACCCCACTGATAACTCCCGCATTACCCTCACAGGTCAGGTGTTGGCCCTTACATACTCCCTCCAAAATAAGACCAGGTCTTATGTTAATTTTGTACCAAAAGATACAATAGGGCTTATTTTCAGTAGGTGCCTTATTTTTTCATGTTCAAAAGCCTACATTTATTTATGTGTAAACGTCTACATTTATTCATGTATGAAGGTCTACATTTATTCAAATACGGTCATGCCATCTTATTGGGAACATCATCATAGCGCTCCAAGCCCCGAGTTCTGCCCTGAGTCCCCTGTGAGCCCACTTCCTGCAGCCCTCTGGCCCCAGTCCTCAGGCCCAGCAGCAGAGCTGGCCTTAATGACCTCTGCTCGCCCACGCAGCCTGCTCATAGTGCGCTGGCACACAGCTGGCAGCGATTTCACCCCGGGAATTACCCCTCCATGTCACGACCTCTTGCAGGCCGGGCTTCACGAAGTTTCCATTAAATTAGGTGTTATGGAATAGGAGTGGCAAAAAATAACAGTTGAGAATAATGGTCCAAAAGCAGCAAAAACCTCAGTCCCCAAGACTCAGAAAATGTTGCTTTATTTCACACGAGTGCATTAAGCACAAGACATATTGAATTATGAAGATTAATGTTAGACACAGCCACCCATGCATCACCAAATGCACACGTTATTCATGTGTTGTACCTGTGCTCCAGTTGGCCATTTGGCAATGAGACCCCAACTCACCTGCTTACCCAGGTGTTTACCTCTTGTTTAAAAGCACCTGCTTTGAACAAGTATTCATACTTACAAATACTTAATTATGATTTATATTATCATTTATTTTAAGTATTAATAGCAATAATGTTATTCACTTATATTTAAGTACATATTAATATTATTATTTTCATATTTCAAAATGTCCGTTTCATGTTTTAATGGATCTCCTGAGGGTGCCCATCTGGCCGACAATCTTAATTGACTCTTTATTTTGGGGCTAGAGCTTTGTTATGAGTCTCCTAAGCAATCATGCAGGGCTTATTCTCCTGTTAGGTCTTATTCTGGGGAAATACAGTACACGAACAAGGAGCTTCGAGGACCAGCACACTTTCAAGTACAAGGAGTGGCTGCAGGAGGACGTGGCAAAGTGTCACTCCCCGGGGTGTTGACATCACCTGCTTAAGTCTTGGAGGCTGATATTTCCCTAGAGTTTGGGTTTCTACTTGAGTGATCTGGAAAGAGACCTGAGGATGTGGTGGTCCCTGAAGCCTCCTGCCCTGGCTTGGAGGTTTTCTTTCATAATGTCTCACTTTTCTCTCTCTTCTTAGTACAACCAGAGGTCGCAGTGTACCCAGAGAGGACCCCCTTCCTGCAGCGGCACAACGTGCTCCTCTGCTCTGTGACTGACTTCTATCCAGGGGACATCAAGATCAGGTGGTTCCGAAATGGACAGGAGGAGCGAGCTGGGGTTGTGTCCAGTGGCCTGATCAGGAACGGAGACTGGACATTTCAGACCGTGGTGATGCTGGAGATGACCCCTGAACTTGGAGATGTCTACAGCTGCCGGGTTGAGCACCCCAGCCTGCTGGGCCCTGTCTCAGTGGAATGGAGTGAGCATTAGTTTCTTTCTTCTTTTTTTTTTTGACATCAGTTATTTTATTTTAAAGAAAAATAAAAACAATGGTACAAAATCTCAAAACAAGATTTTAGGAGAGTAACAATGGTTAGTACATTGTGTATTGTTACTGCCAAAGTAGTTTCTCATATTACAAGATATAGGCAAGAAATAATAAATAAACAACATAGG